GTGCTGGGCTTCGTTTTGGCCTCGCGGCTCGTTCTGCCCCGTGCCTCAGAGCTGAAGAGAGCGGGCCCGCGGCGCCGCGCTAGTCCTGAGGGCTGCCAGCCCGGGCAGGCGGCGGCTTCCCAGGCCCGTGGGGCGCACGGCGATGCGCGCGGGGGGCTGCTCTGGCCGCACGGACCAGCTCAGGACGGCGAGCCCCGTGACAGTAACTTTCTCTTCGTGGGAGTCATGACCGCCCAGAAATACCTGCATACCCGCGCCGTGGCCGCTTACAGGTGAGCTTCTCCGCGCGGGCACCACTTCCTGCATGTAGCATCCCGCGGGCGGGGCCTTTGCCTGCTTCTCAAACCGTTGGTTCCCGGGGTTTCTGTAGGACCGGGTGCACCTAAGGCAACAGAGGCCAGAGGCGGGATGATGAGCATAGCCCTCCAGCATGAGCTCTGTGGTCATACTTAACGAGGGTGGCACCTTTGGGTGTGGCCCTTTGCTTGTTGACCTTTCTGCATGGCCCTTGGTCTTTCCAATCCTCTTTGTTAAATGGACCTGATAGATCGCACCTTCCCTATAAGGCTGTTTGGAAACTTAGCACAGTATCTATGATCAGTGGTGGCAGTGATAATTCCTACACCCAGTTCTCACTTACCGGCCTGGTTATGTTCCAAAGAATAGGTCATCAGGCGAAAATCGAGGTTACGTGAAAATGGAGGATTTTTTTTTTCTCGTTTTTAGACCATCTATTTGTCTGATTTTTTTTTTTTTTTTAATTTAGAAAATATAGAAATAATAACAGTTAAGACTTACTGATGTGCTCGTTACTGTGACAAGTCCAGTTATGGATTATTCCTTTGCGGAGAAAGAGTCTTGGAGGAGACAAAGCTGGATAAAGCTGGGCTGTGTGACTGGAGGGCCCACGGCTTAACCACTTCACCTTCCTTCTGTGCTGGGTCAGAGCTTCTCTCTTGGAGCTGCGGTCTGGGCTCCACTCCCACCCCTGCAAGCCCTGCTCTCCAGTTCATAATAGGGAGCCTGCTCTGTCCTCTGAGCCTGGCGCCTCACCAAGACTCGGGGCTTCCTGCAGGGGTACAGGCTAAGTTTGACTAAGCTTGTTTGAGATGTCATTAAACTCGCTTACATTTTTTCCAGACACCCTTTCACATGCCTCTTTCCTCCTTTCCCACCACACAGCAATTTTGAGTGGTAGAGCCTCAGGCAGAGTAGGAGCTGAGAACCCAGAACAGGCCCCAAGGCTGTGGCCTGGGAGAAGGCTGAATCTTGAGCGGGGAGTGGGGGCAGCCCTTTGGCAAGACGGAGCAGAGGGCACGACCCAGTGCAGCCCAGCTTCCCAGAGGCCGTCCATAGACCCTCCTTGAGGGAGATGCTCTGTAACTGTTGCTGCCATGTCCCCCGCTTTGTTAATGTGCAAAATAATTGGTATAGTAGATTTTTTTACTATTGTCATAAAAGCTAAATGTTGGATAACAAGATAGTCAATAAGTGAGGGAAAGGTGTACTTGGTTCTCCAGAATGTCTGCTGTCACTCTTGGCAAGAGCTGATGCCAATTTATCTGGCTACTGCCCTTTTAGACTTCACTTTTTGAATTATGTAAATGAAAAGAGATACCCACCGCACGCTGCACCACACCAGTTTTTTTGACTAAATGAAAAGAGAACTTTTGGCGGAAAAGCAGTTCCTGGAACAGAGGAGATTGAGTGGAAGACTGCGTAGGATGTTAATTATTTAATTAGCTAAGTTTGGTGATGTCTGCATGTTATTCCTTAACTGTGCCCTTTTGGCCATGTGAGTCATAAAAGTGACTGGGATCATGTTCAGGATTAACAGAGGGATTAGCCAAAGTAGTCTTTAGAAGGGAGATGGTTTTGGAATGGCAGGCGTGGTTAGAGCCAGATTCATAGTGGTGTGAAGTAGAAGAGAGGTATAGATGCAATGAAGGGAGCTGATGAAAACTTTATATGTATGAAGTACAGAAATACTGTGTGAGTATGGTTTGGGACTCATCCAGTCACAAAATAAACCAGTGGAGAGAGGTCTTCTGGGTAGGGACTTTTAGAGTGCTCAGGGCTGACCAGGATAAGTTAGTTGCTGGGTGTAGGTGTTCTTGATTTATAATTGATAGCTTTAGCTTTGAAATCCAGTTCTGGTGAAAATTATCAGGTACTAGATGTGAGGGGAGAATCACATATGCACCTCCTCACCCCTACCTTCACCCCCGCCAAATACACACCAGGGGGGAAGGTAAAGAGTTGAGAAGGACAGTGGAAGAGTGGTAGGGAATGACTGTCCTTGCAGTGTATTCATGCCCATTCTGGCATGTTTCCTTTGGGATCTTGCTTAAGTTCAGAGTCTGGGTTCTGCTAGGAAGTGTCTTGAGTGACTGAAAAGCTTAGAACGTGTGTAGTGTAAATACATACTAATGCAGCATTTTTGGGAACCAGCAGATCAGAGTTTTTACTTAGATGTAACTGGGACTCGATGTAAATTGTACTTTCTGACCAGAGAAGCATCTATATCAGAAATTGTATTGTTGTTGTTGTTATTTGCTGTTGAGTCGGCCCCGACTCATAGCGACCCCTCCTTGGGTTTCCGAGGCAGTGTCACCACGGAAGTAGGATTGCCCAACCTTCCTTCCGAGGAGTGGCTGGTGGGTTTGAACCGCCGGCCTTCTGGTTAGCAGTCAGTGCCTTAGGCACTATGCTACCAGAGCGCTCCCATCAGAAATTGAGGATGAGCCATATAAATTGTTTACAGCACAATTTTGAAAGTGAATTCACGTGACTACAATTTGATGGCAAGTATATGAAACCACAACTTCGGAGACAATTACCTGTTTAAACAATAGCTTATATGACTCCTTATCCTCTTGCCCCAAATAAGTAAATTTTAATGGATATAAAATATTCGGTATATACAAATTGTTTTTGTTATACTAGCAATACTCAGAAAAATACCTTTTCACACTTAGAGTTGATGTTTTCCCAAAGCCAGCATTTCATACATTTTACTTTTGGCCACCTCTACACTTCTACCTCGTCTATTTTGGATGTAGGTTTTTAGGGATTTTAGCTCATTGTTAATTTTCTTTTAAGTTAGGGGAAAGTAGAAACACAGTTTGCCATCTACATCCTCCCCCCTTTCTTTGCCTCCAGCACCTTTTCTTTTCTCTCTCTGACCTTCAGAAATCAAAGTACTTGGAGGCTGGGAATGAACCTACCCTGCTGGTTACAGACATCTCCTTCTCAGCCTGTGAACCCTCTGTTTAGATGGCTGGCTGCAGAAGATGGCACAAGACCATGTTAGTCTTAAAGGAACTTTCAGAGAAGACCTGAATTGGGATGAAGGTTGTTGTTGTTGTTTATAGGGTATAATTTATCATGCTTGGCTTTGCTTTGCAGCCCAGGCCAAAAATCCAAACTCAGCTCTTAAATGAAATTTCATGCACAGTTCAAAATCAAACTAGGCTTTAAATCTTCTAGCACAAGGTAGAACTCTAGTTTGGAACTGAGTGTTCAGTTTTACATTTCTCCTAAGAGGCAGATAATTCTTTACATTTAAAAAAAAAAAAAAATCCACTGTTTGTATTTAAACAAAAAACATTGATTAGTTTATGGATGAAGGAGATGCAAATATTAGTAAAATGGCAGGATATTGAAAAATCTAAGAATTTCTGTCAAGGGACTAGCAACAAAAACCAGCCATCTAGCAACGTCTTTCTAATGACTGAAATTCAGAATGGGGCTAAAAACTTAAAAAATTCAGGAAGATAGTCTTGCCTGCACTGAAGTTGTAAGGTCTGTGGAGTCGGCTCTGACTAAAGTTAATGTATGTTAATGAAAAGAACCTCATCATCACACCTTTTATTGGACTTGGAGTGGAGAGAGGGGCCACCAAGAGATATTAGCAATGTAGTGACAGCTGATTGCAGGCAAGAAACAGATTTTATAAAGCAGATAAAATGAAACTCAAAAGTGTGGCAGTTTAGAGGCCCCGAGTAGACATCACAGCTGTTGAGTTCATTGGAGTGATTCTGATTCGTTAAAATGTTCTGATTACTGGGAACTCATCCTTTTGTTCAACAAATACTTGCGTGGGCCCTGGGACCCAGACTCTCAGTGAATTTACTACTCTCCTGGACCTCCCACTCTCTTGGAAAAGAAAGACACTAAAAAGAGGTTTCAAGCTGGTGATGAGTGCTGTGGGCAAAATAAAACAGGTTAAGGGCAAGAGTTGGGCCATGTGTTCCCTGAATTAGGTGATTGGGAAAGGACCTGGAGAATATGGCATTTGGGCAGAAATCTGAATAATGAGGAACTGATTGTGTGACTGTCATTGATGGAAATGCCAGGCAGAGCAAAGTCCTACCCAAGAACTAGCTTGGAACGGAACCTGAAAAGGCTAATAAAAGGAAGGGAACAAGGGCTTGATAATGTCTGATGTCGTGGAATTTTATCTAAATGAATTGGAAAGCCATTGGAGGTTTTAAGTAGGAAAGTGAAGTGATTGGTTTAAAAGTTAATTCTGCCATTACATGGAAGCTGGATTGTAGCGAAGCAAGAAAATCTGTGAGAGGTGGTCCAGATGGAGATGGAGATGGCTGCTGGACTAGTACAGTAGCAGTTGGAAGTGGATGGTTGTGGGATATATTGTGGAGTTAAGAGTTAAAGGAGGTGCCCATGGAATGCTTGTGAGGGCTAAGGGAAAGCAGAATCACTGATGGTTTCGATGAATTTGTCTTGACCAATAGGGTGAATGGTTTTATCTTTTACTGAGATGGGAATGATCAGAGGAGAGATTGATTTAGGGGGAAAGAGGTGAGTCAGCAGAGATGGGGTTTTTGCACATGTAAAGTTGGAGGTAGCTTGCAGACATATAGGTGTATGTATCTGTAATAAAGGTGATGCGTATAAAAAATGAAGAAAGATTTACATCTGAAGTAATTACAGTGTTGGGGCTCTAAAGCTATCTTGAACAAAAATTCCCTAAGGGTTCTGGATAGCTCTGGTTTTACAAATAAACATAAAATGATTTGTTTTGACTCTTTTACGAAGTGTGTGTACTTTAGGTAATTTCACTTTCAAATGGTGCCAAGATTTGTCCAAAGTAATTTATTGTGCTAGTTAGTGATGGATCGCTGGAACCCCCCTGCCCCCCAGATTTCTTGTGTTTTTCTTTAGCAGCTGCAATTCATGTTTTTCCTATATCTTTTTTTCTTAGTTATCTTGCTTTGATATACCGAAAAAAAAAACCGAACTCACTACT